CTGCTCTTACCTTGCAGGCCAGGAGAGAGTGTGTTGGGGATCACTGCTACATCCTGTAGCATTTAGGTTATATTTCACAGGGCTCACTTTTGTTCCCTGTGCTATTCAATATATACCAGAAATAACTGAGGGAGATTGGCTAGAGGCTTGGGGTCAGGTGTGATCTCCTTGACTAACATGTAGATTAACACGGAAATGATCTCCTACTCTTGGGTTTTTAATTAGTGTGGGTATCTTTTCTTTATCCCTAGTTGTAGTCCCCCTTCCTATATTTTCTGTTGTAGTTATGTAGTCTATTAAAAACCCAATAAAATTACCCTCTTGGGGGTTTTAAAAAAAGTGTGATCTCCTTTTTGTCTAGTTGAGGTATGGATGTGGATATCTTGAACAGGTTCCTGGAGTCTCAGTGAATGAAAGCTGATAAACTTAGGGTTGATTTTCAGAAGATGAAATTCACAGGGTATGAGAGGGTGGGGACCCCAGACCCAACCTATGAATTCTGTAACAGTCATACGTGATCTCTGTGTTCTCCTGTCTTCTCCTGTGCACTGTTCCCATTCTGGATCACTACCATGCAATGATGGGAGATAACTTTGAGAATGTCTGAAAACCAACTGAGCTAGAAATAAGGCAACTAGGTTGCTCACTGTTAAAAAACACTTCACTGTTTTGCATGCTAATTTAACAAGCCACCTTGTATATATACAAGCATGATCTGTAATTCCATTTCATCATCTGATGGAGTGTGCATGCACACGAAAGCTTACACCTTGGATAAAACTTTGTTGGTCTTAAAAGTGACACTGGAATCTAACTTTGTTCTCTTGCTTCAGACCAACATGGCTGCCCACTTTGATCATCAAAGCGGCCTCTTGCAAGTTGTCAGACCTGGTTATCAGATGTTTACCACATCTGCAAACAAAAGTTTATTTTCTGTTGTGACTAATAAATAACCATTGATAGGTTGTGCTATTAATGGCAACACATTTTCCTTTTACAATATCATTTTATTCAATTATGGGAACACTAGGTTCACATTCTTGAGCAGCACAATGACCTTTACTTTGAATTCCTTTTATAATAGCAAGGCTACTTCATTCCCTTTACCTCTTATGCTGATATGGGCTATGGCTAACTCTCTTCAGGATTAGGCCTGCATCTGTATTTGTCCTTATAAAATTAACATGTGTTGTGAGGAATCTAAGATGGAACAATCTTTCAGCATTAGCTGTTTATTTAGTCAAACTGGTTATTAAGGGGGGGGGATGTTTTTACATTTTAGTACACTAGATACCCAGTAACTGGATTACAGGATTTGCCAAAACTGTATTGCCCTATGGAACAATCACCTGAACACTTCTAAATCTGCCAACATTCCTGTGTATGACTGAATATACAGTTCAATGTCATGTGTAACGTGTGTCCAGATGCATGGATTTGTGTTCCATCGGAGGAGGGGGAAAGTAATATAAGAAAAGTAAGCAGTGAAGTGGCTAAATTTGCGGATGATACAAAGTTGTTCAGGGTGGTGAAAACCAGTGAGGATTGTGAGGCACTCCAAGGGGATCTGTCAAGGATGGGCGAGTGGGCGTCAACATGGCAAATGGGGTTCAATGTGGCCAAGTGCAAGGTGATGCACATTGGAGCCAAAAATCCTAAATATAAATACACATTGATGGGGTCTGAACTGGCAGAGACTGAGCAAGAGAGAGATCTTGGAGTTGTAGTGGATAACTCACTGAAAATGTCGAGACAGTGTGTGACTGCAATAAAGAAGGCCAATGCTATGCTGGGGATTATTAGGAAGGGTATTGAAAACAGATCAGCCAATATAATAATGCCCCTATATAAATCAATGGTGAGACCTCATTTGGAATACTGTGTGCAGTTCTGGTCACCACACCTTAAAAAGGATATTATAGCTTTGGAAAAAGTGCAGAAAAGGGCAACTCGAATGATAAAAGGGTTGGAACACTTTCCCTATGAGGAAAGGTTAAAGCGCTTAGGGCTCTTTAGCTTGGAGAAAAGACGACTGAGGGGTGACATGATCGAGGTTTATAAGATTATGCATGGGAAAGAGCAGGTAGAGAAAGAGGTACTTTTCTCCCTTTCTCACAATACAAGAACTCGTGGGCACTCCATGAAACTGCAGAGCGGTCGGGTTAGAATGGATAAAAGGAAGTACTTCTTCACCCAAAGAGTGATTAACACATGGAATTCACTGCCACAGGAAGTGGTGGGTGCTACAAGCATGGATGGCTTCAAAAGGGAATTAGATAAGCATATGGAGCAGAGGTCCATCAGTGGCTATTAGCCACAAGGTATAGCTAGGGGCTCTGGGGCAAGTGATGCTCTGTCTTCTTGGTGCTTGGGGGGGGGTCAACAGTGGGAGGGCTTCTAATGTCCTGGCCCCACTGCTGGACCTCCTGATGGCACTGGTATTTCTGGCCACTGTGTGACACAGAGTGTTGGACTGGATGGGCCTTTGGCCTGATCCAACATTGGCGTCTCTTATGTTCTTATGTACTTCATTCCCTTTACCTCTTATGCTGATATGGGCTATGGCTAACTCTCTTCAGGATTAGGCCTGCATTTACAATCTGTATTTGTCCTTATAAAATTAACATGTGTTGTGAGGAATCTAAGATGGAACAATCTTGCAGCATTAGCTGTTTATTTAGTCAAACTGGTTATTAAGGGGGGGGGGATGTTTTTACATTTTAGTGCACTAGATACCCAGTAACTGGATTACCAACCTTAAATGTATTCAGGATTTGCCAAAACTGTATTGCCCTACGGAACAATCACCTGAACACTTCTAAATCTACCAACATTCCTGTGTATGACTGAATATACAGTTCAATGTCATGTGTAACGTGTGTCCAGATGCATGGATTTGTGTTCCATCGGAGGAGGGGGAAAGTAATATAAGAAATGGAGGATAGCATTACATCAAGACTGTCATTTAAAAGATCAACACACACTTCGTATCATCTTGCCTTCCTCAGTGCAAATTGCAGAACTGGATTATTTATAGAGCTATAGCTCCATCTAGTGATTAATAAACAATATTATTCCTATAAAACAAGCTAAAAATGCCATTTTTAGGGTTGAGTTTCTGTAAGAACAAATTAATAAAACAAGCTGAATAAACAAAGCCAGCACAAGGCATTTCTGGTAGATAATGCTCTGCTTGCTAACTAGAGGAAATGGATCACTGTCCTTATACCCAGAATTCTGGCCTATATGAAATAACACTGTATTTGTTATTAAACTCATGTGCATTAGATGGAAGCTTAACATTCTATTTATTCTGTTGTTTGTGAGTCCGGAAACTATCCACATCATTAAATGATGGCATGTACCCAAGACCATCAAATTCCATTGACCCATCCAGCCACTGCCTGCCAGTTTCCCCTGCCTCAGGGATATGGTGTAGTGAGTGCCCATTTAATCCCCCACTTTATTCAAAAGATTACATCCACATTTGCTAGTTACCAGGATACTTTTACATGTAAACAGAGACTTCTAACATCAATATCTTGCCACACTCCATAATATCTCAGAAGCATAGGAAACGCCTGTGATTTTGACACTCGACTATGAATTTGCCTGTAAAGCATCTAGGCCTATATAACTGAGTAATCTCATTGATCCTATCTCAGAGTTAAAGAGGGTTTATGCCTCTTTTAGGACTTCTTAATTCTCTGTCTGGAATCCAGTGGGGCCTCTGCTTGCTTGCTTCCACACTTAGCAGAGGAAGTGTTTTTGAACCAGGGATGAGCGTAGCTTCTAGATTAAAACAGCACATGCATGTCTGGCTCTATTACCAATCCCAATCTACTAGGACATATGCCTATACGTCGCACACAGTAGAAGCCACATGGCTGTCAAATACACCAAATACGTTTTATGTGTGCAGGTTAAAAATCAGTATTTGAAACAGCCTTTTTGAAGCCCCTTCACAGGGCTTCCTTTGTTTACCAACATGCATGTCTGGCTCTATTACCAATCCCAATCTACTAGGACATATGCCTATACGTCGCACACAGTAGAAGCCACATGGCTGTCAAATACACCAAATACGTTTTATGTGTGCAGGTTAAAAATCAGTATTTGAAACAGCCTTTTTGAAGCCCCTTCACAGGGCTTCCTTTGTTTACCATACACCATAGCCTATACTTTTTCTATAATAAAACTTGCTGAGGCAGGGATGGGGAGCATGATAAATGCAAGAGTTGAACAATGTGATATTTCTTGTTCTTCAGTCACAGATCCATGCAGCTCACTTCAAATTATCTAGGGACCAAGTACTGATCGTTGTTATGTAGATACAGTATTTTGCCCAGGAACCACTGCGTAAGCAAAGGAGAAACTTTCATTATTTAAATAATACGCCCCTTTCCTTTCCAATTGTGTTGACCAGGGCAGTTCATAGTATCAATAAGAATAATGAAAAAATAATATTTTCTTATATATAATTGAGTAGTGTGGTGGCACTTTTTGAACATTCCACACGCTCCTAAATCAGTTGGCTCCATGATGTGTCACTCAGATGCTGTCCCT